AAAAATCATTTTCCTTGGTCCTCACGACACTGGGTCGATTAATGCGCTAAAAGCAATTGAAAAGTTTGTTATAGATCGAAAAGATATCTATAAGAGATAACGGATAGTTAATACTACCTTTAAATGATTCATAGGATTATAGACGAAGTGACTCCTCTTGCCTCAATGGACCGTGACCCCGTCAATTTTGAATTTGGGCTGATTCTAGTCCGTGTTTCTGATTTCCTATTATCTATAGGTTGAGGAGCAATGTCATAAAAAATTGACTTGATAATTAAAATTATTAATTTTATTATGAGTCTTAATATTTATTAAAATTCACTATCTTTTGAAGTCTACTTTTTATCCCAAACATTTGCACAAAATTTTTTCGAGCAAAATATTTGACATTAACTGGTCTTTGTTTCCGAATTCAATGATACACAACGGAATTAACTTCTTTCTCCAATTGCTTAAGATAATGAAGATTTTTCTATATGGACTAATTCAAGCCCATGACCCAAAAAAAATAAATTTAAAATTTAAAATTAAAAATAAACTAAATCTATGATATCCACTACTTTCATCAAAATAGGGTTAATCTCAACTTATACCTGAAAGATTACTCAAATCTCAATTTACATCTTTAAAGTTTAAAAATATTAATTTACACCCAAAAAAAATAAATTCGTATCAATGTACAACTGAGGTCATCTGCTATCTATTTTGCAGTTAAAAAAATTTAGATTAATTATAAATTTCACCCTTAAAATTTAAATATTTCATATTTATGATTTAAAAACAATTGATAACTTGTTAAGTACATCTCAATTGTGTCGTACTGTATTATTTTGTGTCATGGGACATACACTTGCCTATAGGTTAGGTTGTGATAGATTTCTAGTTGATGATGAAGGCCCTAGGTACTAATTTGTACGCCCTCAAGCTCTATCTAGTGCCGTGCCTTGATTAATATCTGGACAAAAACACGAAAAAACATATGAAACAAATCCAAAAATAAAACAATCAAAGAAAAATTAACAAGTGAGTTAGGTTAGCAAGAAACATGAATTTCCCCTTTTACTACTATGAAAATAAATTGTGACAATTATCTTATCTTATTGTAAATTTATAAAACATTTTCTTGAGATCTCGAAAAGATAAAAATAAGAGCGGACAAGTAAATTTTTTTGTTGTGAATTTATATATATATAATTCTTTTTTATAGTTACGACATATTCAAATAGTAGAGATTTACGAAGAAGTATTGCGCTATTTACCATCGAGTGGTACTTCTCGATTTGTAATCCAATACACAAATGACAAATTGATTGGTTCTGTGCATTTTTTTTTTTTAAGCTTTTGGATTTTTCATTCCTATTTCGTCAAATGAGGCTAATTTTTATTAGAAAAAAAATTATAATAAAATTGAACTTTCATTATATTTATATTCTTGGGACCAACTTTTTTGGATTATTAGTGCAATGTGAGTGAGACATAATTTGTGAGTCCAAAATGTAATATGTTGTTGTTATTGAATAAATAATGGATTATAGCATTGGAATGATCCAATTACAATTCAACTGTAACACTACATTAGATCTCTGAGAAACAAGGGAAATACTGTGGTGGTATTTGATAACTATTCAACAACAATTGTCTTCAATATTTTTTTAATTAAGTGTGCTTGATAACTAAATTTTATACCACTTAAAATTTTAAGTACTTCTTAAAAATAGACTATGATTTAATGTTGAAAATATTAATCAGTAAGAATTTTATAAACTCATCATAATGGACAAATTTATTGGTCTCAATCCATTTCATACTCTAAGTTTTCAACTTCCACCATTCACCACCACCACTATGATTGTAATAATCGACGCTACTACCACCGTTGTTACCCCACCATAATTACCACCATTGTTACTATTGCCCTATAACCATCACCCACCTTTCCCCCACTATCACTTCACCAAATATGTCATCGCTCTACTGTCGTGGTCGAGGCTACTATCACTACTATTATCATTATTATTGCTACCCCGTCGTCACCACCACCCTCATTACCCTTACTACCCACATCGAACCGTTGATAGTTTGCAGGTTAAATAAATAAATTAATACTTAAATTTCAACATTCAATTTTCAGTACTTAATTTTTAATTTTATCAAAACACTGCCTAAATCCTAAATTTGATATCTCAATTAATTAGGTTCGATTAGATAAATGAGTCTCGTTGAAAATAGTTCACATGAACCACTAATCCAAGGATCCAGAGTCATTTGAGATCTCAAATTTAGGATCCTCAGGATTGCTCAATAAAAAAAGGATAATTAAATTTTATGTTTTCTGTTTTTTTTCACTGACATAAATCTGTAAAAATTCACAATATCACTTTAATCCCAACAGATCTTGAGAATTACATTTTAACCCATAATAAAGAAGTTTTATCCCATTTTGTGGTTTATTGTGTACTAGGGTAATTTTTGTTTAAAAGTATAGTATAATATGAATGATTTTGAAAATTTTAATGGTCATTGAATGAAATTATTTGAGAACGTAAGATGAATTTATTGAAATATATTATAGAGTGATCTGTCACATGTCTCTTTCCATTAATTGGATTATTAAAAAACAAATAAGATATTTTAGAGATTTAAATAAGATATATTGCAAAAGAGTAAAGACCAAACACAAACAGAGACCCCCAACACATTTCTTTTTGGAACTAAAACATGTTTTGATCTAACAATCTTCCGTAGAAAAAATCTTCCTCAAACCAGAAGTTAGTTCTTGAAACACAAAGTAAAATCCCAATAACAATGGTGGAATAAAATGAAGAAGAAGAAGAAGATTAAGATCTACAACACCAAAACCAACACACTCACAACAACCAACACTCTCAACCGCGCAAGATAGCAACCAAGCTCTTGTCCACCATTTTTGAGCTTAATGCCCTTCGTCTCTACCTTCTTACCCGAGTCATCAACCTTCACATTACCCTTCAAATCCAACTTATGTCTTTTGGTCTTCCAAGATATGACCTTGAACCTCACCGTCGTGGCCAAATCTACCCGGAAAACCGCCACTGACCCATTCGAAACCCCCCTGAAAACCTCATCCCACGGCACTCCTCGAGCATCCACCAGATCTTTCCGGTGAGTGTACTTTTTGTGGCCCTGGTGAAACCCAGACACCGTGTAATTCGCAATCGGAAGACTAATATTTGGACCATAATAGAAGGTGAGGTTGATTGCGTCGTAGTAAACTCCCTTGTCTATATTCTGGTTCTCGAGCTTGAGGTCGAAGAATATGGAGTGGTTTGAGGTGGAATTCAAGGTTTTGTTGAGGGCAGAGACGTAAAAGTCTTGGATTGAGCAAACAGGTTTTGAAGTGTGGAGGCTTAGCCACAAGAAGAGAGTTGTTAGACCAGAAGTCAGCAAGAAGCTGAAACAGCACCGGCAACACCCAGCGCCGCCGTAGTCCGACATGTTCGACGGAAAACGGTTTCTGCTGAGTTGAGTTAAGGTGGCCAAAGGTGGTTTTCACAATAATAAAGGATGGGAAAGGACAAGACGAAGAGACATTGATTGAACGGAATAACAGTATAATACCAATACGGATTTGGAGAGTAAATTACAAAATTAACACTAGACTTATATAACTTGTTTTAATTAAGCCCCTAAATTTTAATTTGTCTCCAATTAATTACCCAAGATTTGGGATTTGATTCCCCACCCAGAAATCAAATACCCGTCTCACGACCTTGAACTAGATTCATCCCACTATCAATAATCATATATCATTCGCGTGCTTTTTGGTGTGCTCTATTTGTGTACGTGTGCATGAGAAAAAAGAGAGAAATTCAGAGATTGACGAGGATGCAGAGGATGGCATAAAAGATTGATGGGAAAAGAGAGAATGACAAGTGGTGTCGGTGGTGCGAGGTGGGTATGTTAGGGTTTGGTCCATAGGGATTGGATTTGAAGAGGGGTGAGTTTTGAGCTAGAAAATGATTGGATTTGAGTAATTGTCATTTTTTATTACTTGACAAAAATATCCCTTCAGATCAATTACGTGTCATCTCTTGTGCCTGGTCGATAAACATCTAAAGGAATTGAACATATGGCTTAAATTGAATCAAATTCAAAAGTTTAAGAGCTTAATTGAAACAAATTAAAATTTAGGGACAAAACCAATACAAGATGTAGGCTCATAGGCTATTTTGGTAATTTACTAAAAAAAAAATGGATTTCTCTATTGTGTCCTATAATCCCTTAAAAAAGACTAGTATTTAGCCTTGGCTTTTTGCTTATGGGAAACTACTTGGCTACGTGGCTGGGCACCCATGTTAGCTCAATGAGTCTTTGTTGACTTGGAATAGTAATTATGTGACTGAGTGTGTACGATAAACAAAACCCTAATGTCGATTTGGAGGAATACTTATTTAATAAATTGATTTAGTAATGTGTTGGTTCAACTTTTGAATTATTTTGGTTCAAATCCCATCAATCACTAGTTTTTTTTTTCTCCCGCATTAGCTGTATCTAAAATAAAATTAATACTTTTATTTCATATTATATAATATAATAATATTTAAAATAGTGCAACTTAACTCGTTTAATTCACTCATTTATCAAACCTTAATCCATTAACTCGATTTCGTGTCATAAAATATTTAACTCTGGACGAGGTTGAAAAGCTCAAATCTATTCCAACCGGAGAATAGATAGGTAATTTTATATATTCATCAAAGAGTACTATTAAATTAATGAAATTAATGTTAGTGTGATGAAAATGGTATTTAAATTAATGAAATTAAACGTCAATTTGATTACTAAAATTGAAGAGTCAACTTGATGGTAAATTTAATATTTCACTACAAAAAATGCCATGACATGAGTTATTTTGTTACATGTCAGTAGTAACAGCGGTGATTGAATGAGTATTAGGTGGAACTCATAATAAACTACAAAGGCAAGCAGTAATATTTCAAAAATTATACGGGTCGTCTAGGGATGAAAATAGATCGAAGTGGGGGTGGGTGGTATAATCTCTATTCCCGTACCCACTTAAAAAAATTTCGTTCATCTCCAGTCCATCCCCGTTGACGAATATAATTTTTATCCCTAATCCTATCCACGGGTAAATTTGTAATCCCCACCCCCACCTCAGTCCACCTTACCCACTTAAGTCTAACCTCACCGTCCACCTTACCCACTTAAGTCTAAGCTCAAGTCAAAGTCCAAGTCAATATAATCTAAAATTTTAAATAAATATAATTTTCTAAATAATCTAATATAATTATACAATAGCATAAAATAATTAAAAGTTTATCATTTACAACATAATATAATTAAAATCTTGTTTACAACATAATATAATTAAAAGTTTGTCTCATTTGTAAATCTAACACAATATCATACAACACAACATAATCTAACATAATATAATCCAACATAAAAAAATATAAAAACAAAAATATTTATATTTTTACAAGCCAAAATTATGAAAAAAAAATCAAAAAACAAAACTATTTTCAAAAGAAAAAATTATTTAATAATATTTAGACTTGTATTCACAACAATATATATATATATATATATATATATATATATATATATATATATAAAAATAATAATAATAATAATAACAGATAAAGGGGGCTGGAAAGGGAGGGCAAGGGAAGAGTGGAGGTGGGGAAAAGTGTTAGTTTATTCCCGTAAAGACGTGTACAGATAATTTTATATACGTCAACCGTCTAATATATATAATCTATCTCTAATTCAAACGAAACGAGTTTAGACGAATACACATTTTTATTCTATTCATTGTCATCTCTGAGGTGTCTTGACAATTAAGTCAATTTCAAGAAAGTGTCACCGAAATTTACGCTAGTAACTTAGAATAACAAATAAATCACTTGCCAAAAAACGTCTTTAAGTACTCAATCAGCCAAGTTGCAACTCACAATTGCATTACACCTTCCTCGCTTTTTGGATTCCCCAAGCCGTACTCAAAGGAGTCCCTACAGCAGCACCTACCACCCAAAAGCTGCACCCCTATTCCCTCTAAATCACTGTTGGTGACTGAGATATTTTTCAGTACATTTTCTCTTTAATGTTTTTCTTACTACGTTATTAATTCATGAATAAAGTATTAATAAGAGGAGTACGTTTTCTCTTTAATGTTTTTCTTACTACGTTATTCATGAATAAAGTATTAATAAGAGAATTGAGGAGAAATTATATTACAGGATTAGATCACACCAACGGTGGACTAGCCTATCCTCCACCCCTCACCCAACAATCCAAGCCACTCCCCCTTGCAACCCCCCCACCACCCAAATCCACCCCCATCCAATACCATGTAACTATTACTCAAAACCCCAGAAAATTAAAAGTACTAATAACCCTAAAAATTATATTTTTTAATAGACATAAACATCAAATAATATTGCTATGCTGTCAATTTTTAGAGTAATGTTATTGTACCTACCACCAACAAATAAGTAAGGCTCAAAAATATTAAATGGGTGTGGGTAAAACATGGTATAAAAATTTTAAAAATAAATCAACATCTCTACTTGTCAAAATGTAAAAAAAACTTATAAAGACTTACCTATAAGATGAAACATTAACCCATATAAAACATACGTGTTTTCACCGTAATCTTGAACTACATTCATTTTTAGTCGTAAAGCACATTCCATAATGCACTCACCCTTTCAAAGTTTAGAATAAATATAGAATAGGCTTCGGATAAGTTCGAGAGTCACTAATAAAAGTCAAACACAAAATCATTGAACTAACGGTTCGACACAAAGACTATATATCCACACCACAAGACTACCATGCATGCGTGTTACTTCCAAATTCCTTACTTGCATAGTTTTCCTACTTTTTCAAAAATAAATAATTAACCAACCTCAATCTACATCACCTACATTATATATATATATATATACAAACCCACATTAACTTAAAGTCATTCCAAGGCAGTGTATATATATATAAGCCATGTCTATGTTTACCTGAGAAACCTGCGCAGCCCTATTTTGCTGCCTGTATGCTTAACATCCTCCTGAACTTGCTGTCTGTACTCTTCAAAGGTAAATTCCTTGTAGATTGAATGTTTTTCACTGTAACTCTTAATGAGTGTGTCATAGGAAGGACAGAAAAAATATGCCACAGAGAACCTTTCAACCTCTGGATTGGTTACAACCCTGTGTTCTATGCTCTTGTAAACACCATTGCACCAAGCCTGCATTGAGAGTTGTACATATTTTGGCATAATAAACAATATTAACTTTTGCCATATAATGCATGATGATGTAATGTCGTAAACCCATATTATTCAATATTGTCTGTTTTGGTTTAAGTTCACACCACTCTAAGCTCGTTTCACTATGGAGGTTCAAAACTCAAACTTATCAAGCATTTTCATGCACTTTACAAACCGATGTGAGAATAAATAACCACAAGTGATATACACAGGATGTGAGTTTTTCTCAAAAGTTATAACTACCAGGGTTTGTGCAAAATCACTAGAGCATAGATGTCATTTTATGTGAGAGACATACTGGTATGTTTTTGGGTTATAAAATTCTTTTGCAAAACGAGCAATACTATAGAGACCTAAGTTCAGAACCTAATTCAATATAACTATTGAATTAGTTGTTTTTCGTTGGTCAAAAGCAAACAAAAATTCTCTATAGTTTTTCACTACTCCTACAGGAAAGAGTCTCTTTCTGTCATGAGGGAATCATTTTTTCTCAATCAAGAGTGTCTCAATTGGATAAATTCACTTATTTCACACAATTTTTCTGGTCATGCTTTTTTCTTTACAACGAAGCTTACTTTCAGTCCAACAGTGTAATTGATTATATTCCTAAATTTGGTGCAAATAATATTTTCCTTGTAAAATACAGGTTAGGAGAGTTGGAAATGGATGATGGATATATGGAAGTTACCTGGAATAGATCGCCTATGTTGATGATCAAAGCATCTGGCGTAGGTTTAACACTAATCCACTCTCCATCTCTCATCAGCTGCAATCCTCCAATGTGATCTTGATACAATATGGTGAGGAAATCACTATCAGTATGTGGCACAAAACCAAACACTTTAGAAGATATAGGGCATTGGGGGTATCTGTTCATCCTTAGATAGCAAGAACTTGGCTTGCAATTTTCTACAAAAAAAGTAGTGGATTTACAGCCAAGATGCTCGGCTAATGTTTCGGATATGTTTTGAGCCAGATCAAACACCAGTCTTGCATATTCCTCAATAGGAGAGCTGCAAATTAAGTAAATAAAGATCTGAAATATATTAGAACTAATCTGTTAATTATACAAACAAAAGTAATTAAAGGAAACCCTAGTGAATAGAATCAACAAAAATTGTTTCTAACAAGGTTTTCTATTAACATAATCATTATAGAGGAGGAGTTGCAACCAACATAGTCAACTACTTGTTAAGATATATAAATTCTCAAATTTTTCATCATGCCCTAAACAAGAAAATTTTGTCTTAAAATTCTCTCTAGGGGAGGTAATATCCGTAGCAAGTGTAAGTTATCGGTTATGAAACTTACTGTTACGATCACACATATGTCAAATATAAGATTAGACGTTGTGTATTATGAGTTTTTAAGGCATTCTTCCATTGCAAATCAGTTTTCAATGTCCAGTTTTACCCATGAGTACTGCATAAAACTTTAACAAGTATCAAAATGAATGCCTACACTTGATCAAGTGTGAACCTAAAGGCTGTGTAAACTATTAGGGCTAAGTAATATTGGTTTCAAAGGGAATCTGCATGAAAAAAACCTAGAAGACTTTGTCCTTTGTGTATACCTAAAACTGGTGAACTCCCTTAATCCTTTCATGTTAGTAAGAGGAAAGTGAAAAGCTTCAGACCATGAGAACTGCATCAAAGAAGTAGCAGTTGGGCTTCCCCAACTGTAACAGTTCTTGGCTAAGTTGAAAACATTCTCATTAGCCTTCTTGTAGAATGGTTGCTTGAACAATTTCACTTGTTCCAGTTTCATTCTCGCCAAAATATCTGTAGAAATTCCATGATTCACAACTTGAAAGAACCCCCACCGGCTTGCAGCATCAGCAATGGCTTTCTTACAGTCTTCTCGGTCGAAGTTGCCTAGACTTAACCCACTGAGATCAACAAGAGGAAGCTCGTATTCATCAACAGAAAACATGTTCTCATGCACCCTTTTTGTTCTTTCTTCTTCCACCATGTCCCCAAAAAGGGCCTTGTAGGTCTTTAGAAATGGTGGTTCTGAATCTTCTAATTCCATGGTTAAAGGCCAAAAGAGAAGGAAGAAAAACACATAGGTCTTTTGGTGGATTGGTGGTTGTGATATTAGAAAGCAAGAAGATCAGATAAGATAATTTGAAGTGTAGAGGATAAAGAGGTCACTGTCCATGTTGTGCGGACCATAGAAACTTTAGCTTCCTCATCAAGAGGATATTTTTTCTCCTCTTTTATTGTCTAAAGGTTTGAATTTCAACCCACAAATTGCAACAAATTTTATAGTAGTTCTCAAAAAAGTTTCACATGTCTCGTGTCTCAAAAAGTTCTCAAAAAAATTTATTGTATCATGTCTATTTAATGGACCTGAATCATCACGACATAATTTATTTATTTTTTTTGATTTTTTTTTGGGAGGAGAACTTAAACCCTTGATTTTAAAAAGACAAAACTTTTACAAGATAAAAAATACTATTAAATTAAATGTCCATTAATATCATGACATAATTAATCAGACGCCATTACTATATATGAAGTACTTAAACTTTATTATATGACTAAAATAGACCATTCATAGCCAAATTATGAAGATAAACAAAAAGTTAGTCCAAATGAAAGTTTTCTTTTTTTTTTCGAAAAATGATTAAAAAAAAAACAGAAAAATATAGTTATGATCAGCATCTTTTGTTTTTACAATTATGTTCTATGATCTCTTCACTTGGCTATGGGCTGTGACCTGGTGCGGTAGTGTTAAAATGAAGCCCTCAATCGTCAATCAACCCTCCCTATATTTGTACATTGAGCATGTCAACATAACTGCATTTTTGTTTGATTTGGTTGTAATCAATCCGAATTATTTATATATTTTTATATAAATAGTAAAGAAATTAAGTAATTATTTTAAAAAAATTAGTTAAAATTTAAGTATAATTTGTTAAAATTTAGTTAATTAAGTTATTTGAATCGAATTTTGAATTATTAACAGATTCGAACATAAATCATACATAATAAATTCGTCAAATTATCAATTTTTTTTTTTAAATTCACATTCGAATAAGTTAAAATTTAATTTAAACATGATCTTCACGTTCCTTTTGGCCAATGTGCATCCAATCTGTACTTTTGTCTTTAAAGCAAAGTCTGGAAAGGAAGATGGTGATGCCACTCATGTCGATATGATAGTTTTCGTGGACAAAGTCTTACACAGAGAGAGAGAGAGAGAGTCTTTGCCGACTCTAATTCTACTCCACAACTTAATTTGTCAAGAACAATTAGTAAAGAAGTTGCGCGTATTCGAATTTCATCGTCAATCTCGCACAATCTATTTAGGTATTAGACAATTTGTCCATTCGCCTATGAGTTAATGACGCTCTATCTCAGCCCGTCCTACACCGAAGAAAAAAAATTAGAATCAAAACTAGGTCCAATAGAAGTAAAGGATTATAAACTATGGCTAAAAAATGGAAAGAATAAAACTACTAACAATTGGCCACACACCATTCATGGAGATTAAATTCAATGAAATAAGGTTTATTACGTTATTATAGTGATATGTGATGGGACTTTTCTGAAATACTCTATGATGAAGACACGTGTCCTCGGTATTACTAAAACACTGTTAATAAGATCAAGCACCATCGGCGCGCAAAGGTCCTCTCCCCCGAGGTACTCGTCATATAGGATTATGCATTCAGTATATTTTACAACCGACACGTGGCCTCGATCTGATATGTACCTCGGTCGACATACCTCCCTCGGTTCCCGAGATGAGCCTTTCCTCGGTGCCGAGAGGTACCCCGTCCTGGACGTTTCCTCTACTCCAGGATAAGCTATTTACGTACAGGTCATTAGCTTAGGCTAGTCTAGGCTATTCATCATGACCTCGTCTTACACAATTAGTGTCAGAACGTACTGGAATGCAGGGGTCAAAGCCAATAAGGGATGGACGCGTGACAAATGATATCACATTGAAGACAGAGAAAACGCATGTCGTTGCTGACACGCGACTTGGGAAAGCAAACAATTAATTGCACCATTCCCTTGATGAGACCGCATTCAATGCGGTAAGGTTCGAAAATGAAAGACAATAAATGCTCCTAATACAGAGCATTTATTGCATCCTCCCCGAGAGGAGTACATTGTACCGTCGGCATCCCGATGACCCAGCATTAATTGCTCGGGACCCCGAGCAATTAAGAAGAGAAGACATTCCTCATCAAAATCAGTGCGCACACTGCCTGTACCTAATGATCACCTACTGACCACACTGACAGCAATCATGAGCTTTTGAGGTATAAATACTCCTTGCAAAAGGCAAGACTGGTATGCAACGAAAAACTCTTTACTACAATACACACTCAGTGTTTTCTTCTTCCTCTCTCTCTCACTCAAAGACTGACTAGATCGTCGGAGGGGATACGCCGAAAAACACTCCGGCGCCCTTCTAACTTGTTCTTCTTTGTTCCAGGATCCTCTTTCAGCCTTACTGGATCGTTCTTCCGCTCTCCCAGGGTCTCCCGTTGCCGTTCTAGGTTACCACCGGACCTCGCAGGCTGTTCCAAGCAGCGTGGTTGGTCACTCAACTGGCTCACTCGAAGTTCACCAGGGAGAGATCTGTTCTCGTTTTTTATATTGTGCAGGATCTTGCACGCACAATCTGGCGCCGTCTGTGGGAAACGACTAGTTTTCCTAGTTTTTTCTCTATAAAGAATAGTGACCATGGTGAACACTCGACAGAAAGGGAAAGGACCCCACCAAAGGAGTCTCGAGTTACAAGCTCCCTGTCATCACGGAGGGAGGGATTACACCAATACGAATAAAAGTGCCTCTACTCGGTCAAGAGGGGTTACCCCTCAAACCAGTATGGGGATCAGGTCAGGGGGATCAGCCCCCTTGGCTCGTCAGCTGGCGGAGGTGATTGAAGAAAAATTTGGCGATAGATTACGTCAGTTGGAAAAGGACAATGTAAACGTTCTAAGCCGGCTCGACGAGTTTGCCGCCTCTGGCGGAGGGTCGAGGGATTCATTCCTTTCCCGTGGGCTTCCCCCCCCGGGAGGCGAAAACGAAGGATCTAAGAAACCACCTAAACAACAAAGCAGAAAGCTCTAGGGCCCCAAAGCGACCCAGAGCCGGCGAGCATCATCATGACAACCATTCAAGGAAAGCAAGGCCATTGGCCCTGGACGACCTCCGGCGAGGTTTGTCTAGACGGAGGAAGGGAGATGAATCCGAGGAGGACTCAACCCAATCCACACGACGCCCAGGAAATGAGGGGCTTACCGATGAACTCAAGGACTTCAGAAGGCATCCCGTCAGGGAAGAAGTTGATCTCAAAGCCCGATTAGACTCCAGGAGAAAGGGTAAGGCTGTCCAGGATGAGGCCGAGGACGAAGTCATACAAACACCCTTTACGAGGGAGATCAGTGAGATGGAGGTCTCAAGAAAGTTTGTCGTGCCGCGGTTCAAAACCTATGACGGGCGGTCCGATCCCGAAGCCCATATCAGGCAATACAAGCAGATGATGTCCCTCTATCATTCGGACCAACGGTTTCTCTGCCGAGTGTTTCCTATGAGCTTGGGGGACTCTGCGATGAAGTGGTTCGAGGCGCTTTCCCCCAACAGTATTGGGTCCTGGAAGGAATTGACTAAGCAGTTCCTGGCTCGATTCATTACGGGGAGTAAGCGCCCCAAAGACATTGGATCATTGTTGACCCTCAGACGGAGGGAATCCGAGACTCTTCGCCAGTACGCCATCCGATACTGGGAAGAGGTTAATGAGGTAGAAGGCTGCTCGGAGGTCATGGCAGCAGCATCTTTCCGGCTCGGCTTGGCAAGGGACACGGACCTGTACCGATCCCTGACCAAGAAGACTCCCTCGGATATGGGGGAACTAATGGCCCGGATAAACAAGTACTCGAGGGTTGAGGACGAGATGGGAAGCAGCAAAGGCCGAGCCCTCCAATCTAAGAGAAAAGAGAAGGAGCGAGAAGATATTCCCCGAAAGGGATTGCTACCCCATCCAGGGGGTCCGTCCAAAGGATTCACACTGTGTTCAAGGAACCCATCTTCAAGTTGCTCCATAAAATCAAGCACGAGCCGTTCTTCAAATGGCCGCCCAGGATGCAGAGCGACCCCTCCACCCGTGATCAAAAGGTTAGGTGTTCCTATCACCGGGATTTCGGGCATCGCACCGAAAGCTGCAGGGTGTTCAAATCGTTCTTGGAAAGCTTGGTCCGAGACGGTATTTGAAAGAATACATAGAGCCCAAGCCAGAAGAGAGACGAGCCCTTGCCCGACCGAGGAGCCGGACAACATCATAGATGTCATCCATATATGTCCCCTGGATCGCCCCACGTCCAAGGAACTCGAGTCCGACCTCAAGAGGGTAGCTTTTACCAGGAAGGTAGCCGAGGTTGATGTAGGGCCACCAAGTAAAAGGGCCAGGACGGGTGAGCTTGGCATTACATTCTCCGACGCGGATTTGACAGGCGTAGTGACTCCTCATAACGACGCCCTTGTCTTGACCCTGAGGATAGGGAAATTCGATGTCAAAAGGATTTTGATAGACTCTGGAAGCTCCTCGGAGGTGATGTACTTCGAAACTTTGAAACGGATGGGTCTTGGCCCCAAAGACCTCACCAAAGTCAGGACACCCCTCATCGGGTTCAACGGCTCGTTCGCCCTGCCCGTGGGGAAAATCACATTGCCAGTTGTCACAGGTCCCTTTGTCATCGACACCGAGTTTGTCGTGATCGATACGGACTCTCCCTACAACGTGATTATGGGGCGAACATGGCTGCATGCGTTGGGAGCGGTGCACTCCACTTTCCACCAGAAGTTAAAATTCGCCACGCCAGAGGGTATCATGGAGATCCGGGGGACCAAGCGTCCGCGAAAAACTGTTTTTATTCAGCCGTTCGAGCCGGGGCGTCCAGCCAGGAGAAGGGGCGAGCACCGGAAGAGATTATGAAAAAATAGCAATTACAGTCCGGGCGTCCAGGAATGGATGACCCCCGGATAGACCCAACTGAGCGGTCGGTTGAAGACCTCCGGAAGGTGCCCTTGGTAGAGGGAGAAGAAGAGAGGTATTTCTTAGTGGGGACCTCGATGCCTACAGCCGAACAGGAGGAGATGATCGAGTTCCTAAGGGGAAATACAGACGTGTTCGCCTGGAACGAAATGGAAATGACGGGGGTAGACCCCGAGATAATCAC